CTTAAACTATAAAATGTTTTCACAGTATTAAAATTCAAATCTTTTTATTATTTTTGATATTTTGACAGAATAATTCAAATCTTTTTGGTATTTTTGATATTTTGAGAGAATAGTAACAAGTTAAAAAGATAACTTGAGTTTATGTAAGAGAAAAACACTAAATTTGAAAAATATCTTTCTCCTTATCATCAATCAGTAACAAGATGGGAATTCTGTTGTAGAAGTATGAAAAATGTGTTGTGCCAAAGGAGCAGTTAAATTCTTTACCCTTACTAGAGATTTTATAAAGAACATTGGCTAATTTAAAGTTTGAATAGTTCTAAAGACCGACTAGGCAGGGACCAACTCTCACTCTAGAGTTCCCTCAATTCTTTCCACTTGGGGGCTAACATCTCGTATCAGAACCTAAAACCATAAACCAAGTTGGGGGCTTTAACCTGTCACTTTAAAGTCCTCTAACTTAACACCCTTCAATGATTATTTTCCTATTTATTTGCACTAAATCATATGAATTACATTCTCATTCATACAACCTCATATAATTCTTTCCAATTGTTGACTGAGACAATACCAGCCTGGTTCTTACATGTTCTCACAACAAATTTTAACATCTGGATAAGCGAAATCAAGAAGTAAATGAAGTTCATGGTTTTAAATCATCACAGCTTCTTTCAACATTAAAGATCAGTACTCTCCACAACTTCCATCCAAACTTTAATTACTTATCATTTTAAGGAGAAAGATAAAGAAAACTACTCAGAATCCATGGAGAAAACAAAACCACACTTTAGTTTAAAATTAGAAATCATTGTCAAACCAACAAGAAGTCTCGATTAAAACCAAAAGTAGTTCAAAATAAAGATAAAAACTTATCACAAATCATCCACCAAACTCTTGAAGTTCCTTTAAATCTCTTCTCTTTTACAACACTCACAAAATAAACTAAAAACAAAAAGGAGTATACTAATTGTGTTGGGACTATATGACATGCTTTCCTAAATATTAGCCTGTGTGGGGACTTCCTATAGGAATTCTAAATGCAATCCTATAAGCCCACAAAGCATAGTCAAGTTTGACTAACCAATCCATTTTGATTGGATTCATTGTAGTATTCAACAAATGAATTAGCCATTTTGGTTTGCATAATCTCTTAAAGGTCTAATATCTTCAACATTTTGAGTATTTTAATTTGTCATTTCTTGAAAATTTTCAGTAATTTTTAATTTTTTTAATTTTTCTATTAGTTCTTTCTAATTCATAATCATAAGACACAAGTCCTATGGAACCTGAACTATGCATACATTACTATGAAACACATAAAATAAAATAAAATAAAATAAAAACATACAAACAAGAACTTAATATAAAAACAACACTATAATATTCCTATAATAAATCTTAAAAGTTTAAATAAGACTTTATAAAAATAGAAATTTTGCTTTCTAAAAACCTCTTTGAAAATTTTGTAATTTTCCGCAACAACGGCGCCAAAAACTTGGTGTCGTATGCTCTATATAGATGTAAAATGCGATGTATGTAATTACAAGCTTAATTTCCTTAATAGTGATTCCTACTTTGCAAAAAAGCCAAAAACTTAATCCAAAGCAAAAGCTAGGTAAATAATCCATTATGAATCAAAGAAGAATACATTTATAATAATAATTAAATATGAGATACTACTCAAGTATGCATATCATTATCAAGTAATATAGGACTTTTTGATTAAGCCCCGAATGTCGAACCCACAAGAAAAAATGGCAATATGTGCTTTATAAAACAAGAGAAATTAGATAACAAAATTTTACTTAACAAAATATTCTTTCCTAAACTCAAGATGTTATAATATGAATGAAAGTTTGATTTTTTTTGTAATTTTTGATATATGAATATAAACTAAATGACTAATTAACTTAACTAATAACTTGCAAGATGAAGTCAATATAAATAAAATATATTTTTTCTTATCATGAATCAGTAATAAGTACATAACTTCTATTGTAGAAGTATTATAATTGTGTTGTGTCAAATAGAAACAATAATATTTTTTACCCTTACTAGAGATGCTATAAAAAACATTGGCTAATCTATAGTTTGAATAGTTTTGAAAACCAGTTAGGTTGGGAAGATACTAGCTCTCACTCTAGAGTTCCCTCTTCTCCATCTACCTGGGGACTAACATCTCGTATCAAAACCTAAAATTATAAATCAAATTGGGGATTTAGCCTGCCACTCTAAATTCCTCTAATTCTACACCCATGAAAGTTTATTTTCCTACTTTTTTGCACTTAACCCCATGAACTCCATTCTCATCAATGAAATCAAATGTGATTCTTACCATTTGTTGATTGAGACAATAACATCTTGGATTTTACATGTTATCACAATAGGTATTAATATCTTAATTGGTCAAATCAAAAAGTAAATGAAGTGCAAGGTTTTAAATCAACACAACTTCTTCCAATATTGAAGTCTAATACTTCACATAACATCATTTCAATACTTAATCACTCATCTTTTTAAGGAAAAAGATAAATAAAACTACTCAGAATTGATGAATGTATGAAGAATACCCAACCACAATTGAGTTTAAAAGTAGAAATCATTCACACAAACAAAAAATTTAAATTAAAACTAAATGTAGTCATAAAGATAAACACTTATCTCAAATCCTCTCCACCAAATGTCTAGAAGTTCCTTTGAATTCTCTTCCTCTACTCACAATACAAACTAAAACTCAAAATAAAATAAAAAGGTGGTCGGCGGTGGCGATTACTTGGATGGATGATGACTATTGGTTTGGATTGGTTGGCCATTTTTTCTTTGAAGATTCAAGTCTTTTTTTATAAAAATATAAAAGGTGTCTTGGTGTCTCTTCAAAATATGTCTCCATTCAATGAATCTTCTAGAAGTTGTCTCCTTTCAAAAGCCAATTTAATGAATTTTCATGTCTATGGACTATTCCCACGTTTTTACCAAGGGTTGCTTCAAACAGCTCTTAAAAAATTCATCTGAATTCAATTAATCATCAAATAACTACTTCTAGCGCTTAAGCGTGAGATACGTGGTGCTTAGGTGTGGCTCTCTCTATATAACTGGCGCGTAAGAGCAATTCCTGGGCACTTAGGCGCCTCAATTCATTTTTGCACCTTCTTCATTTTTGCTCCAAATTTGACCCATTTTCTCTCTTTTTTTCATTTTTCATCAATTTAATTGTAAATGAAAGAAAAACACACAAATACCTTTCATTAAAGCACAATATCTTAAAAATAGACATAAAAATGTGTATAAAAATTCTACATATTTTAGATGTATCACCACCAAAATCCCAGCCAACCACTTTAATCCAACCGATCGGCCCACTCTAAATCCTCCACGACCACTCCACCGACCAGTCATTTCCATCAGCCGACGGGCCACACAGAGCTGACTGCTTCTCTGCATCTGGGCAAGCATTACTACTGCATTCTAAAATGACAAAGCCAAAACAAGATAACACATAATCTAAATCAACATCAAGGAGGCTCCCAGATTTCAAGCAATCTGTTAAGTACAAGAATCTCGGTTACCACAACCTAATCACCCCAAGGCATTTACCTCTGCCTGACTCTCCATTAGTTGGAATCATAGCTGCTCAATTTTTCACCTTTTCTCTCTAAGATTTATATAACCCATGGGATCATGTCTACTTTAATTTATCTCATCCAATCAATCGCCACAACAGGCAAGCCACTCCATAGGCCAATCAAAGGTCAGTCAGTCGTGCTGGGCAGAGGTCTCTTCGGCTAACCTCAGCTGAATGAGAGTCAAACGGTCCTTCAAAGGGTCCCCTAGCGACGAGCACGCGTAATGACTAAACTAATTTGTACTATCATCCTTAAAGAGTAAAGATATAATTTTACTTTTTGTCGTCCTATCACCTATAAATAGAAGAATCCTTTGATATAAACTTGGTTTTTTGGGATCCCCCAATTGTAAATGGTATTTTTAATGGGAATAAATTGTGTTGGGAACACCACCCATTCAGCCTAATGAGGCAAGTCTTCCTCTTTCATTCTTCTTTCTTTTCTCTTTCTTCCCTTGGATGTAAAGCTCTATCCCTCAGGCACAATTCAAGGGGCAAATCAAGACAAACAGATACTAAACAAACGTACATAAAAATTATGTGTTGTATGCAAATCCCCTTTCTTAACACATATTTCAATTCACATTTCATCCAGCTATAAAATAGTTGGTACAATCGGTGGTCGATTTTGTTTTTTTTTTATTCTTATTGTGATATATAAATTAGAAATAAATATATAAGAACTTCATAAATTATATAAATGAAGGTATTTTTAATAAACAACACGACCTTTTCATTAAAGTTGATATTCTTTTAATTATGATATACTAAAGTACTCCAAAAAAATGAGATTTTATTGAACTTTGTATCCTAAGCTTAGGTGACTCAACTTGTAAGAACACGCCACACTTCTACTTCTGCTTTATGTCATATAATTTCACTTGAGAACAAATTCTGATAACATTTCAATTTTTAAATATATAATTAATAAAAGAGGCTTTATTTTTCATTCGGAATGATATGCTTATCTCCAACATTATTTACCAACAATCATAATAATTGTACAGCAACAACAACAACAAAGCCTTAATCCTCTTAATCCTACTACGTGGGGTCGGCTACATGAATCCTTTTTCCCAATTACGTCCTATTTAGTGTCATGTTATCATTTAGTTCTAATAAATTAAGACCATTATTTATACAATAAGCCCAAGTTTTCATATGTCTACCTCTGTCATTATAATAAACAATCATTATAATTATGATATAAAAAATTGTTTTCTTTTAATAATTACTAAGAGTAATAAGCCAATTATATATGAATAAATAATAACATGGCTAAGCTTCAAAATTATTTCTAAGAATATAAAATGGCCTATATGAATAAATAATAACATGGCTAAGCTTCAAAAATATTTCTAAGAATATAAAATGGCCGCACACTAGTAATTCGAATATTTTGGATGGCACACAAGTAATCATTTAATGCTTTATTACAAATAAATACTTGGGTGACCAAACATAAAGTTTATAAACAAAGAAAAATTATAAATTTGCTCCCCACATAGCTCTCCTCCTCCTATCCCTTGTTGCCATTCTGTCCCCATACATCAACAAAACATCTCCAAGATCCACCATCCCCACCTCCTTCAATCTCCTTCCCACCACTTGAAACATCTCCACCCCCTCTTCATTAGAGAAGAGATGCAAAAACTTATTGTAATCAAACCTCGGCACCTCCACGGTGCTTCTTAATGTCCTCTCTGCATATTTGCTTGCCTCCAATGTCTTCCCAGCCTTCACCAATCCCCCAACAAAAATACTATCAAAGTTCACCAATTCCTGCTTCCCTTTCCTCCCTCTCTTCCCCATGTGACCTTGAAGAAGCATTATGTAAGTGTGCATATTTGGCTCTATTTCTCTCCTCACCATCTCTCTAAAAACCTCGGTTGCCTCCGCCGCCCTTTTCATCCTCAACAATCCCTTCATCATGCCATGACATAGGCTCAGATCCACCTCTTCTGCTTCCTTGAAAACCTTGTAAGCTTCATTCACCCTTTTTTTGGCTAAGAGGCCGTAGATTAAATGCCCAATGGTGGCAGTATCGGAACTTAATCCTCTCTTCAGCATTTCTACAAACGCCATGTATGCATAAAAAACCCTCCCTATCTTGCACGTCCACTGGATTACAATCCGGTAAGAACTAGTCCGCAGATCGAAGGATCTCCTCTCCCTCATCGATTTAAACAGCCTCAGGGCTTCCAGTAATTTATTTGATTTAAACATGGTGATGATAATCTCTTCGTAGGCATCCACTTCCGGCTCGATTTCTTTCTCCAGCATCAAATTCCAAACCCTTGCCGCCTCCACGAAATCCCCTGCGCGGCAAAACCCTATAATAAGAAGCCTGTAGGTCTCCTTGTTCGCAGAAATCGAATCTTGGAGCTTGGCAACTACGGAACGAGCAATATCGGCGTGCTTCCTCAGGCAGAGCTCATCCAGGACGGAGTTGAGTGCGCTGACGGTAGAAAATTGTGGATCGAGGCGGAAGAGATGGGCGCATTTGGAGATCTCGCGTGCGTCGGCGAGCGCTCTTGCAGCGATGCGGAGAGAGGAGATAGAGACAAGGCGATGATCGTTCATGAGAAGGAGGTGGTTCCATAAGAGATCGATGTTGCGGGATTTGCTGAAGACGTCGAGGAGTTTGGAGGCAACGGTGGTGGAGAGCGAGAAGGAGGGGTAGTGGGAAAGAAGGAAGAGGTGGAAGCGGTGAGGTGGTCTCCATGAGAAGGGGAAGTGGGTGCAGATGTGGAAGAGGAGGGAGAGGAGGGAGGAGGGGGAAGAGGGGAGGGGGAGGCGGAGGAGGCGAGAGTGGAGTTTGGAGTCGGGGGAGAGTTGATGTTGGTAGAGAACGGTGCAGAGGCGGAGGAGGAGAGATGGATCGATGTGTAAATGCATCGGCGCCGGCGATGGCCGGAGGTGGTGGAGGAGGAGCGCCGTTGTTGCGGCAGAAAGATGGGCCTGCGGGCCTGTGGGAATGCCTTCTTCTCACCCGCTATAGCTTTGAAAACGATAATTACATACAGACCACGTGAAATATAGATATTTACAAAGTCATCACCAAGTGAAAAATGAGCAATATGAGTTGAGGTTTTATTACAAATTTTAAAAATGGAGGAAAAATGTGATTATTATGTAAATAATAAGTTTCGGGTGGTCTGCATGTAATCGTCTCTAATAATATTGGCTAGTTTATCTTGTAAATGGAATGTATTAAATTTTGAATAATACATTGTGAATTTTCTGAGTTTTTTTCTAAAATATTACTGGAATTGTTACTTGATACATTAACTCTTAAAAAGAGGATTTTTAGATGGAATTACATACATGACTCTAATTTGAATATTGACAGAAACTGATATCATTTTTTGAAATAGTAAACACACAAGTATTTATGTAAGCCACGATTAAATCTTTAGAATTTAAAAAAAAAAATGGGAACATACGGTTTGGAGTTTTATTGTGAATTTCAATTTTGGGTGAGATAAAAAATTGGATTTTTAAGGGTATTATATTTGTACGCAATAAAATTATATATATATATATATATATATATATATATATATATATATATTGGTATTTTATTGATATATATATATAATTGGATTTTAATTTGAGTTTAAGGGATATTTAAGCCTCTTTAGTAGGCTAAGTAGATTTTTTTTAGTTAATTATGTAAATTCTTCGCTTGTTAGCTATGCCTTTAGATTGCTCATCTGGTTGAAGTTTTTGCTATTTTTTTGACCGAAAAATTTTAGTTCTTATAGTTATGAACACTCATTATTTTCAATAATAATTAAAAAATACCCTGCATCTTTCTAAGCTAAGCTTAAGCATGAATAACTCATTTGATGGAGAAACGATGCCTGTGTATGCTTCTAGGAGAGTAGAGATAGATTAAATCTCAAATTTTAGGGACTTGTTCAATAGAATTTACTCGAAGATTTAAAAGCTTTTTATTTACATTCAATGAAAAAAGTACACTTTTTTATTAATTTAAGATACTATTTATTTCAAACTTTTAATCTTATTTTGTTTCATATAACACTTAAACTATTATGTTAGGTTTTTTTTATTGTCCATTGGTAGTGGATTCTCTCTTTCACTTGAATAAATTTTGTGTTTAAATATATTTCACATATTAAGTAATGATTATTCACATCATCTCATAATTACTATGCATTTTTGTATGCTACTTAAAAATTGTACTCTTATTTGATAAGAAATGCCCTTTTTCTTTCACTCAATATTTATTAATTAAGAAATATATTTCACCTAAAATTATATTTATGTGTTGAAACATTTGTGAATGTATAAAAATAATTTAATGACTTGGTTTTAAATGAAATTATCAAAAGTAAATGGAACACAATGAAAACAATTAATTTTATTTCAAAATTTTGAGAAAAACCATGACGCTGTTCTCACTACATAAAATATTAGATTGCAGACAACCACCTTTCTTCAAAATTAGTTTATATATTATTGGTTCTAACTGTGTTTTTCTCTTATGATGTTGAATAGAGTTTGGAGGCGTTAGAGATAGTAAGTATTTTCATATTTTATTGCAAGTATACTAAGTTTAGGCATTTGGAGCTTAAAGAATACAAAAGGATAAAATTTGGAGTCAAAAGTGACGTTTTAAAAAAAATTGAACTGGCGCATAGAAGTCAGAACTGGCGTCTAAGCGCCTAAATAAAGAGAAGACGATGGCTAGGAGCCAAATTTCAGCGCCCAGGCGTCAGAGACGGTACATTGAATTTGGACGGATTTTAAAGAGGTGCCTATGGAGAATCTTGGGAAATTCGTCTCTACATTATAACATAGTGTTTTATGTCAGAAAAAGTGGTGTGTGTTGTGTGTGAAGGTGTGGGGCGTAGGTTTCATGTTCTGGAAGAATGTTGCAAATGTCTCTAAAAGTTGTAAGAGGAGAGGGAAAGTGAGAGATTTCTTCTTCCTAACATTTCTAAGAGAGATTTGAGTGTTATTGTAAAGAGAGAAAGTGATTCAAAGGAACTTCAATGGATTTGCTTAGGGAAGAGAACAAGCTAAGTTGTTTTACTTTTTTTTTCTCATTTTGTAAATTTGTTTATATATATATAATCCATGTTTTGTTGTAACTTCCTCATGAATTTTGAGTAAATTTCTTTGTCTTTCTCCCTACAAAGAGAAATGATCATGTGAAAATCAAGATTATTGTGCAATATTTTAATTTCATATTTGTGATGATTCAAACTTCAAACTTCATTTACTTTTTAATCTAGTCAATTGAATTGTTAAAATTTGTTGTGAACCGTACGATTTAAAAGGGTTATGATTTTCACAACAAAGTTAGAATCATTTTCGATTTCATGGATGAGAATGTAGTCCATGGGGTTGAGTGCAGGGGTTGAGTGCAAATAAATAGGAAAATATTCATTATGGGAGTATAATTGGAGATTTTAGGATGACAAACTAAAATCCCTAATTTGGTCCAGGCATTCGGAAACTAAAGTGAGATGTTAGCTCTCAGATGAGGGGAATGTGAGAACTCTAAAGCGAGAGTCAGTATCTTTCCAGCTTAACCGCAAATTTAGGGACTAAATAATGGATTAGCCAATATTATTTATCGCTTGTAAAAAGCATAAGGAATATAATTGCTCCTATTTGACACAATACAATTTTCTTCAATTTGATAAATTCACTGACTATAATCTCGTTGTAATGGGAAGGATGCTTTCATAAATTTGAACTCTTTGTTACAAAACCTAGTTTAGTTTTAGTAAATTTAGTTTTGAAGTTTAGAGATTAGTGTAGTAAGCATTGTTTCTTTAGTTACATTAAACAAATTTTGACTTGTTTTCTTACTTAAGTTTTATACATTTTAAATATTGTGCTTTTGCGTGATTTTCCAAATAAATTTTCACCTCCCTGTGGGATTGATACTTAGGACTCCATTAAAACTCTTTATTACTTCAGTGTTACGTATACTTATATTTGCAACTTAGTGACGATTTAAATTTGAAAGGATACCTTAATTCACTAGGAGTAGCAGCTTTAGATATTTTAAAGGAGAAAACTTATTATACTGAAGTAAATTTTATTGTGATTAATTTGCATATTTGTGAGTATAACTGCCTTATATGTTGTGGTGTTGAAAAACAATTATAACGCATAACAAAAACCCGCATCAAGTTTTTGGTGTCGTTGCTGAGGAGGCTATCATATATTATTTAAAAGACTTTGTTTGAACTATAAATTTTATTTTAAAAACAAAAAATAAAATACAAAAAAAATTAAAAAATAATAAAAATATTTTAGTTCTTGTGTGAGTGCTTATTTCTATAATTATTAATTGTATTTGTATATATGAAGATTAGGATTCAAAGGATTAGTACCTTACGATTCAAAATTACAATGAACTATAAGAAAATTTTGAAAATAAAAAGAACTTAACAAAATGGTGAACAATTTAAATAATCATTGTATGGAAAATGAGCATCAACAGAGACCATTAAGAGACTATGTTAACCCTACAGTAAATGAAATTCACTTGACTATACAAAGTTCTGCTGTAACTGCTAATTCATTTTAGCTTAAATCTGCTATTTTTCAAATGGTACAAAATAATCAGTTTGGGGGAATACTATCTGAATATTCAAATTTACATCTTGCTAGTTTTCTAGAATTGTGTGCTACATTTAAATATGACGGAGTGACGAATGACGTCGTCAGACTTAGACTTTTTCCTTTTTCATGAAGGGACAAAGCTAAGATGTGGTTAAACTTTTTAGCACCAGGATCTATCAGAACTTGGGGAGAATTATCTCAGAAATTTTTGGCTAAATATTTCTCACAATAAAAAACTACTAAGCATAGAAACGATATTACATATTTTTTTCAGTTTGAAAGGGAATCAATATATGAAGCTTGAGAATGATTTAAAGATCTCCTTAGGAAGTGTCCACACCATCTTTATCAGTTGGTTAATTATTCAAACATTATACAATAAATTAGTGGGATCTCTTAGATTTATTATTAACACTACTGCTGATGGATCATTAATGTCAAAACCATTCGATGAAGCATATTCATTAATTGAAGAGATGACTACTAACAATTTTCAATGGACCTCTGAAAGGGTAAATCCAAAAAGAGTAGCCAGTGTTCATGACTCTGACACAATTTCTATTTTGGTTTCTCAAATCACTGCAATATTAAAGAAGTTTGATCAATTTAGAATGATTATATCTCAAATGCTACCAATGGTTGAGGAAAATTCATTCAGATAAATGATAGATCTCAATCATCATATGAAAATTTGAATGCAATAAATAATATATCTAATAATCTCTATTCTAATTATTATAATCCTGGTTGAAAAAATCACCCTAATTTAAGTTGGAACCCTTTGGGAAATGTAAACAATCAAGAAAATACTAACTATACACCTTATTATCCTCCAGGTTTTAACAATAATTCACAATTTAAGGAGAAGAAATTATTTAAGGAAGAATTGGTATTATAAATGGGTAATCAATTACAAAGTCAGGGAGAGGAATTAGAAACATTGAGAATCAATTTGGGCATATTGCTACTATACGTAGCAGCAGGCTTCAGAGAACTCTTCCTAGTAATGTTCTGATTAATCCTAAAGACCAAAATAAAGAGCAAATGAAAGTTATACAGCTAAGAAGTGAAAGATAAATGAAAACAAGACTTCAAAAAGAGATTTAAGTTCAGAACGAAGGGGTGGAAGTTGAAAAATCTGGGGAAGATCTTCATCATGATTCAGAATATCCCATTAAACCGATGAAAATCACTATTAAAAAACCACCACCTCTATTTTCTCAAAAATTGAGATAACAAAAATTGGATAAACAATTCTTGAAAATTTTGAAAAGATTTAAGAAACTAACCATAAACATTCCATTTGCTGAAGCCTTAGAACAAATGTCGAGTTATGTAAAGTTTATGAAGGATATAGTTATTAGAAAATGAAATTTTATTGATAATGAGATAGTTGCACTAAGTAAAGAGTGTAGCGCTATAATTCAGAAAAAAACTTTCAGAAAAATTTAAAGATCCTGGTAGTTTTATTATTCCTTGTGCTATAAGCAAAAAA